AGATTTGCAAATCCATTTACAGACAGTAGGAGAAGTTTGTGGTGAAGAAGAATATTTAACATCTTTAAAAGAAGCCGAAGATCAGTTGGAACATAAACAAAATGAAATGAATTTATTTTATGGCACCTCAAATATATATGAGCACTATGCGAATTGGGCAGAGAAGGAAAAAAATTGTCCATTATGTCATCATTCATTCACAGGTATAGATAGCTTAAATGATTTCATTAAAAGGCTAAGGAATTTTGTAACAAATCTTCCTGAAGAACAATTAAACCAAGAACGAAATTTAGAAATTATTAAAACAAGGTGTCAACGTCTTCGTGGACTGCAGCAAGATTTTATTGCTATCAGACGGTTAAAGTCTGAAATATCTGACCTGAATCAGATGATTGAAAAACATGCACAGGAATATAGTGAGTACAAGATTCAACTAGATGAAATTGATGCCAAGTTAGCTTTATCTCAAGAAAACATGTTCAATTTTTTGGAACTGGACAAAGAAGTACAAGATGCCATTAAGCTGAAAGCTAATTTAAGTAGTCTTGATAAAGAAATTAATAATCTTGAGCCTTATATGAGAGCTTCGAACGATTCTAAAAACAAAAAAGATGAATGGCGAGAGAAAGCTATAGTGCTGAGGAAGGACATTAAAGAACTGAACGAGATTCGTGATATCCGAAATCGAGAAGAAAAAAATTTGCGGGAACGTTTGCATAAATTGGAAATGGATAAATACAAAAAACAAAATGATTTTGATAATCGCAGTCAAATTCAGGAGCAAATTGATGAATTAAATAAAAGCATGATCCTTCAAGAACGTGAACTATCACCATTATTCGATCAAATCACGAATTTAGATAATGAAATTAGAGATATGGCGGCTGAAATACAAGAATTTCGTACGCGTAAATCTGAATCGGAAGATGCGATTATGACAGATCTCAATAAATTACAGACATTCCACGAGAATTTTACTAAAATTGAACGAGAAATCATTGAATATGTTCATAGTGGTAAACGAGAAGGATTGGATGAATGCACGGAACAAATTAAAAGAATACAGCAAAGTACCACAGAAAAAACGAATAATTCTAACGAGTTGAAAGCAAAATTACACCAGTTGGATTTGAACATTGGACAAACGCGTCAAGCAAAGAGAGACTTACAAGATAACCGCGATTATAGAAATCTGAAAGTTGAAATCGAAAACCTTCAAATAAAAATAGAAGATCTTCGTCAGCAGCTGGAAAGTCAAGGTTCAACCAATTACGTTAAAAGGGAAGATTTTTTACAAGCTGAACGAACTAGAATCTCTTCTGAAATTTCAAGTATTACCGGGAATATGGAACAGATAAGGGTTACAATTAATATTGATCGCGATGATCTTGAAACGCAATATAAGAATATTAAAGAAAAGTTCAAAGACCAATGGGCATTAAAGCATGGAGATCAAGAGGCAATAGCTGAGATCGATAGGTTAATAAGTGAATTAGATAACATATTAATGAATTACCATACGAGGAAAATGCAGGAAATCAACTCTAAGATTGACGAATTATGGGGGGAGGCTTATAATGGGGATGATATCGAAAAAATCGAGATTCGTTCTGAGCAGGAGAATGCACAATATAATAGATCATATAATTACAGGGTTGTTATGCAGAAAAATAGCAAAATACTTGACATGCGTGGAAGATGCAGCGCTGGTCAAAGGATGTTAGCTTCAATTATTATTCGAATGGCTCTAGCAGAATGTTTTAGCAAGGGTTTCGGCATGTTTGTTCTTGACGAGCCAACTACTAATTTGGATGAGAACCATATTAATAAATTGGCCACTAGTTTAAGATGGTAAAATTTTCTTTTTCCTTGTTTGGTCATTATTCGTTTTAATATTTAATTGGAATTTTTATTTTACATTTATAATAAATAGTATTGTGGAAAACCGTCGTAATGAATCAAACTTTCAGTTAGTTGTCATCACTCATGATGATAAATTCGCGGAAAAGCTAGGCTTGAGAGAATTGTCAAATTTTAAATATCGCGTGGAGAAAATTGAGAATGGGCTCTCCACGATTGTTAAATTGGATCACAATAATAATCGTCTTTAAATATTAATCTCAATTTATACTACGGGTTATCATTGTAATTTTAGAAATATTTTAGTTTGGGGTTACGTGACCGACTTATTCATTTCTTGTCTCTTTCTAATTAATCTCTTAATTGTCTCGTTCTTCGCTTTTTTCATAAATAATAAAGCAATAACAGAGATTCTATTTTAGTTTTTATGTTAGGATTATTTCTAAGATCAAAATTGAAACAAATAATTTAAATTGGAAACCAGAAACATTAGTTTTTTCAAGTTTGCTTTAATTCGATTATATTTGATTCTTATTCAATTAATAATAATTTGCAACTCGGGATGATATTTCTTTTAATTAGAATCCTACATTTTCTTCGGGTGACGTTGCTCAATTGCATCAAAATGATTGAATCGAAAGTTAATATCACGTTGCGCAAAAATATGCATGGATCACGTGTAAAATTATTGTAATATATCGGACAATTATATAAAACATTTCGTTTCTCTCTCAAAAGTCGCGTTTGCAGATATTAAGAATATTTAATAAGTTTAATTTCAATATGGATAATATGGATAACAGTATGGAGATTACAAACGATAATGAAATGACTGTACAACAGGCGGTGTCTTCAGTTGTGTCAAATGCTCCCAACAATTCTGGTTTAATGGTCGCTTTGTGAGTACAAGAATACAGAGAAGAACTGAATCACTTTGTGGTAATTTTTCTAACGACAGAATGTCCGTTTAGACACCCTTTGACATTGTTAAACATATCTGAACATTTTACACGTGTAAGGATGCAAGAACAAATACAGAGTCCACAGGGTTTGTATAGAATACTAACTATACTTTAATTTTTTAACTCGTTATTAATCGAAATTTATTTTTTTTCTATAGTTATTGGAGCGATGGTAGGTACACAAACGGGACGTGAAGTAGAAATTACCAATTCATTTGAATTAGCATTTGATGTGGTTGATGGAAAAGTGATAGTAAATGGAGAGTATTTTACAACAAAGCAAGAACAGTGTAGGTCTACTAAAATTCTGTGTTCATAAAAAAAAATTTCAAATCTAATATGATTCATTAATCGATATGAAATTATATAGTTCGTCAGGTTTTTCCTCAGTTTGATTTCTTGGGATGGTATACTTTGGGACGATATCCAACTGAAGATGACATCGAAATTCATAAACAGGTATAAAGAAACAAAATTGATTAATATCGTTTAAATATACATTATAAACCTATCTTTATATTTAGATGATGACATGGAATGAAAGTCCTCTTTTTCTTCAAATGAACCCTTTTGATATTGTCACATCGAAGAATTTACCAATCACTGTTTATGAATCGATTATTGACCTTATCAATGGACAAGCTCAAACAATGTTCATCAAGTCACAATATAAGATTGAAACCGGTGAAGCTGAACGTATTGCCGTTGACCATGTTGCTCATACAACTCTTGGAGAAGGCGGTGAAGGTTCTTCACGTAAGAGGCAACTTATCGATCTTTAACAGAAAGGTTTTATTTCTTTTTTAATCATTATTTACGTTTTTTATTTAGTAATCGCACATTTAACAACCCAAAGGAATGCAATTAAAATGTTACATACTAGAATAAAGATTCTTCATCAATACCTTGTCAATGCAAAATCAGGTATCTGTATTATATGATTATTAAAGCCTAAATAAATAAATATATTTACTAATTTATATATATATATATATATATATATATTTTAGATGAATCATTTGTTGATCATGATGTTCTTCGCCAGATTGCTGGACTTTGTAATCGATTGCCAACCATTGATAGTGCCGATTTCAGACAAGAATTCCTCACGGTTTGTGATGTTTCTAAAATATTTATGAAATTTTTTTTTTTTGGTTCGGTTTATTTAGCGAATGGCTTATGTAAAAGTTATTTGTGTAGGAATACAATGATGTTTTATTAACATCATATCTAGCAACTATAACCAAGGGAACTAATTGCATTAATGAGGTGTGTATATAATTATGGAACATTGTGATATTTTTTTTTATTAACTTTTCTTTTTCTCCTAGCTTGTGGACAAGTTTAATATTGCAACCAGTACCAATAAACCAGGAGGACGTGGCAGACATCAACAACATCAGGGATTCCCAAATTTTTAATATTAGAAATTTCAGTAAGTTTTAAAGATGTGATATTCATGTTAAATATGTTCTTCATCAAATAATTTAATAATTTTATTATTATTATTATTATTATTATCATTACAAGCTAACAGTTTTTGTTTAACTAAAATGATGCATTTTAATGAATAAAAAATGTTAATCAAGTAGAACAATACAACATGAAGTTTTTTTTTTTTTTTAGAAGAATTGTTTTAAATTATATATACAAAAAAATTTTTTTATTGTCATTGATCACCAGGATTTACCAACCTATAATATTTAAGATGGCTGTTAAATAAAGTCAATATCTTTAAAATAACATAATTAACTTACACATTTTTGTACACATGATTTGAAATCAAGAAATTCTTTATGACAAGCATTATGGTGAATAGAATCAAGTTGAGAAGTTACACATTTTGCATATGTTGCGGCCTTTAAGGTGTAAAAAATTTGCGTGATTTGTTTCGATGAAAAAAAAAAAAAAAAAAAAATGGCAGAAAACAAAATTTTTCTTGTTCATATTGCTTTACCTGTAAAGAACATTTTGATACAGCTTTGGCAAATATTGCAACGGTAGTTTTCTCCTTTACTGGCATTAAAAATATATTTTTGACGGATGAGATTAAATATAATTTATGACTGAAAATATGAGATGACAATTCACGTGATGCGTGGCACAAAACAATAAAGTAATGCCAAGTAGATCAAATTTCAATTATTTACCTCTTGGTTCGACAATAGGACCTTAAAAAGGTTGATTGATTGTCGGACTAGAATAATGTCAAACGTCATGAGTTATATCACAAATAAAACCTGACCAAATAAAGTTATCAGGAATTATAACATAAATGTAACTTTAATATTATAAAATTGATTACATATGAAGAACCAAATTTATTAATTTTATTGAAACGCGATTTTTTTTTTTAAGTAATTCATTTAGGCAAAGCCAAGCTATAATCTCACTAGGATAAAAAATTTTTTTTTAAATGACCACATTATCTTGTTTGTTTCAGAAGAAACAATAGGAATCACCTTTTTAACTGGAAATTTTTGCGCCATAAAAATAAGACTTGAAAATAAAGTTTTTCTGATAAAATAAATAATCTCATCTTAAAATTAAGATAATTTTTTAAAGTTTAATGAAAAATTTAATCCTAAATCAACAATGGGGGAAAAGAACAATCAAGCATTTTTAAAAAAAAAAAAAAAAAAAAAACATGTCACATTTTCAAAAAGGATTGGGGGGCAATGCTGCGCATTCATGAGAATTCGATTTTTTTTTTTTTTTCCAAACGGACCCTAAAAATTGTAAAGGGTCTTGTTTATGATAAACAATTAATTTTAAAAAAAATGTTCACCAATGTCAAATTGTTTTTCATCAGATGCGATACAGTCACAGCATTAATTGGTGGCGGTATCACACCGAAATACTGTTACCTTTCGTTTGAACGGTATACGAATATATAAATAATACTTCCTAATTAAGAATTTCCTTTGAGGCAAACATCTAGCCATTCATCGAAAGCATGAAAACGTAATATGCATGTAACATGACTATCGGAAACATTTGATTTCTTTTTTCTTTTCTTTTAATTATTTTATTTAATTTTTTTTTTTTTAAAAAAAAAAAAAAAAATTACAATACATGAGTTGCGGAGCGCACAGGTCATAATTAATATTATATATTAGTTATCACGGTATTCCCTTGAATTTCCCGGTTTTTTTAAAAAAAGAATGTCTTACAGATATGAGATGTCAAACGAAAGATTTCAGAATTTACTATTTTTGTTGTCATTGAAAAAAGGTATGCACTCCACCTTTAATGAGCAGATGGATTTAATAAAGTTTCATGAGTAGCTACATTTTTCCTTTTCATTTCAAGTAATAGCCAAGTTCCTTTTTTGCCTAATTCTAGTCAACTTTTGAACATTTATCCAATGAACATCCGTAAATGGCCAGATACGTGCATTTAAAACTAATTTTTAACAAAGAAGTTTTGATTATTAAAATAATACTTATGATCAATCAGGACATTTAAGGTAAAAGGAATAATCGGATTGATTGTGTAATACATCAATAATATGGTAAAACTTTCATGATCACCGGAGAGAATCAAGGCTCTTTCAAGCAATGCCCGGTCCCCTTGACGAAAGATTTTTCGTGTAATTAATTGTCTTGATTATCGATTTATCATATCTAACGCTTCAAAAGAAAGGCATCAAATTCTCTAATAACAGTGCAACATCCTTTTTGATACTCATTTATGTTGATAAAGTTCATGATTTTTTTGCCGAATTCCTAAATAAATTGGTGTTGAAATTTTCATAACTACTTCGGCATACGTTTTTATAATTAAAATTATTTTACATAACCTTTCTTACCTTGGCGTCTGATTCAACCATTTTTCGTTCGTTATATTTTTTACGATCTCTTTTCCTGTTAACCGTTTTGAGGCATCAAACTTAATTTTTAATATTTGAAATTTTTAAGCTTTTTAATTTTTGATGAGATAACTTTATTTGGTCAGGTTTTATTTGTGATGAAACTCATGACGGTTGACATTATTCTAGTCCAACAAATCAATCATCTTTTTGTTTGGAGAGTCGATAATTGAAAAACTTGATCTACTTGGCATTACTTTTTTGTTTCAAGCGTCACGCATCACGTGAATTGTCATCTCATATTTCAAAGTGACACACGAGTGCACGGATCCGAAATCCAAATCCTTGGTACCATAATTGATATCAATAATCACAGAGACAACTTTTTTTTTTTTATTCTCCTTCATGTTATATATATATATATATATAAAAAAAAGAACATCATCTTCCCGAACGAAAAACAACTAGGGAGTTTTTTTATTTCTTTTTTTATCTTGCAAAGAGGTAATGTTTACCACAATATGTCTAAATTCGATTCATTACTCTTAACATATTTATTCATAACAGGTTTTGTAACAAGAAAATTCCTCCTATTTAAAGGATTTCTATTGATTTACTTGATTTGGAACATACATTCTTTCTTTAAACAATATGTTATTTATATCAATATTTTTTTTTTAGGTGATATCTTCGAAATAAAAAAATCTGTCATAATAGTAAAATAATTAATACAATGAACCTTGTAATATATTTACAATAAGTAGAAAGATCCTTTTTTGACACCCAAAATTTCATTATTACCCTTTGTTCTTTCTTTTATTTCATGCAAATTTCAAATGATATCACCTTTATTTCCTTAACACATACACAATCATCATCGTCATTCTAGTCATTATATTGATCCTGTGTAACGGAAGGCAAACTATCGTTTAATCCTTTTTGTTTGAAATAAAAAATAATAGAACAAGTTTTAAAAGAGAAAATTTTCAATAAATCTTCCTTACGCCTTCTTGGGTTAACAAAAAAAAATAAAAATAAAAAATATTTTAATCTAAAAAAAAACTGAAGGGAATATCAATAGAATAAAAAAAAAAAAAACGTGGTTCTTTTTTTTTTTTTTTTTTTTTAAGAAAAAAAAATAGGTTTCAAACCTCTTCATAAAAAAAAAAAAAGTTTTTTTTCTTTCGCTTTAGAAATTAAAGGAAAAAAAAAAAAAAATTAATATTTAAATAATAAAAAAGCAAAAAATTTTTTCTTTTAAAAAAGTAAAATAAAATATTCTTCGAGAGTGGTTTTCGCCCATAAAAATAAGTCTTTATACTTCTACCGCCAAAAAAATACAAATCGAAATAAACAGTCGAAAGGATAACCTTCTTCCCTCCCTTCCCCCTTTTCCCCTTTCATAAATATTAATATCACGAAATCTTTACTTACACTTACCTATAATTAATACTTAAAACACTTCATCTTAATAAAATGGAAGAAGAAACAACATATAATCATATGACAGAAGAAGAATCTAACGAAGAAACGTTACAAAATGGTATAGAAGAAGTAATAACAGTGGACCAAGAGTTCGCTGAAAAGCAAAAGGTATTTCAAGAAACGATCAATACCTTACAACAAAACTTGGAACTGCAATCTACCACTACCGATAATATAGGCGACCCTCTCGAAGAATACTTTAAAATCATTAAAGCTTTATCGTCTTGGATGACGAATACCGTTACTTCAACTCTATCTTCCTCCCCTTTTTTACCGTTAACCACCTCGCTCGTAACAGATCTTGATACTCTAAATTCTTTTGAGGAAACCTTGTCAAAGATAGAGATCGATATAATAAGTAATAAACAAATCGAATATAATCAACTCTCCACTCTTTCAACGACGTCCGATTCATTTTCTCAATTATTTTCCACTTTTGATTCCTCATGGCAAACGTTTAACTCTTTAATAAAATTAGGAAAGTTAAAATTACAAGAATTAAAATGGGTAATAGAATTAAAGTCAAATGTTGAACAAGTTGAGGTTGAGATCAAAAAGGTTGAAGCCATGTTGGAAGGTGTTGAAGATTCTAGGAAAAAAAATATTGATGATGGTGGTGGTGGCGACGGCGGTGGTGGTGATGGTGGTGGTGGTGGTGGTGGTGGTGTCAACAGTCTTCAGGGTAGCATTAATAGTATAAATTTTGATTCGTCCAGTGACGTCACAGTAACCGGCATTGTCTTTTCATCGTCCCTGTTAGATGAATGGTATACCAAGGTTGTCGCGGTTGAGGAATTGGTCCAAGATGTGAACGCAAAGGTTAAGGATGTTACAACCCAGCTAAATCATGAAAGGTTTCGTGCACCAGATGATTTATTTGATCATATAAATCTTATAATTAATAATAATGCACCCGAGTTGAAGAGCAAAATTGCCGCCACTAAGCAAGCTTTGGCTCATGATCGTCATATAGGAAGGTGGTTTGATGGGGCCAATGAAGCTGACAAATGGATCCGTGATACTTTGAATCGGGTAAAAGAGTTAGAAGTTCCTGATTTTATTAATAAGCTTGAATGGTCCGAAGAGGAACAAAATCTTGAATCGAAAATCGCCGAGAGAAGAAAA